TGCACTCAGTCTGAGAAGCCCGCGGACTTTTTAAATGCCCCCGCCTCTCGGAGAGGAGAGAAGCCTCTCAGCCAATCCGAGCGACGGGTTTTCGCAGCAGCCAATGGCGGCCGAGGCTGGCGCGGAGAAGGGACTCGCCAGGAGGTCCTTGGGTGACGCTGGGCGGGAAAGGGAACGCGCTCGCGCTCCTGCGCACGCGCACGCCGTGGGCGCGCGCCGCTGTTTCTCTCTCTCTCTCCCCCCCCCAACCTCGCAGTCTCGGCCCGGCCGCGGCTCCCGGAGCGGTTGCCATGGAAACGGCGGGAAGCGACGCGCGGCGCGCCTCATCCCGGCCAGGTGGGCCGAAGCTGCGCAGGTGAGGGAAGATTGGCGGTTGCGACGTTGTGTGTCAGTGTGTGTGTGAGTGTGTAACTACAAATCCCATCCCTGAGGCAGCCAGCGGATCTCCCCTGGTGCGTGAGAGGCCGGAGTACGGTTGGAGGCGCAGTTTTTTAAAAAAAAATCTGAAAATTTAATACAAAAAAATAATAAAAATAATAAAATTATGATTATATGTAGAGTATAGGTCCACAGGGGTAGTCAACCTTGGCTCTTTTATGATTCGTGGACTTCAACTCCCAGAATTCCTGAGCCAAGCTGGCTCAGGAATTCTGGGAGTTGAAGTCCACGAGTCATAAAAGAGCCAAGGTTGACTACCCCTGGTATAGGAGATGCTTTGGACTACAGTTCCCATTAGCCAGTCTGTTGCAGGAGGGGCAATCCCCATCAGCCCTCCCCCCAAGGCTGGCTAATGGGAACTGTAGTCCAAAGCATTTCCAATACTCTACATATAACCAGCAGCTTTGGACTACAGTTCCCATTAGCCAGTGTGTTGCTTTTGAAAGGGGAACGCGTGTTTTCTGCCTTCCTTTCCCAACCATGGAGCAATGCTGCCATCTCGTGGCCAACGAAAAGTGTTGCACGGAACTTCTTTTTCGTCCCTTTTTTTTTTTTAGCATTTTCATGAACCCGAAAGGCGAGGTCGGATTCACACGAGCCTCCTCGCTTTGTGACTGATTCACACGTGTTTGGGGGGTTCGCACGGTGCATTGAACTGGCTACAACCCCGTGTGAAAGGCTAGGCTCCAGCAATTTTATTATTCTTTTATTAATCGACATTTGATGATATCGTCTCCCAAGCGGGCTCCTGCTGCTTTACGTGGCTCTGAGTTCGAATCCTGCTCACGTCTTTGGCAGGATCAGCTCATAAAATAAACGTTGTATGTGTTAAACCTATGAATAATAAAATGATTTTTTTTATGTACCTCCTGAAACTCCCCCAAAATCTCGACCCTGGAGCGGGCTAGTCAACTCGCAGGCAGATATTCAACTAGTGAAGGAATTCCCTGTTGAATGCAAGCCGAAGGGGAGGGTCTAAGCGAGTGGGCGGAGCCAGAAGGACCGCGGGCGGACCTCCTCGAGTTTTTTTAAAAATCATTTTTTCTTATGTGTTATACCCGCCCATTTTGGAGTCTGGCTCCTCCCCTTTGTCCTCTTCTATCTGCGCATGCCTGTTTCGATTCTCAATGGAATCTCCCACTGAATTCAATGCAATCGCATCCAGGCATTTGTGGGTTGCAACCAATAGAACAGGGGTCTTCAAACTTGGCTTGTGGACTTCAACTCCCAGAATCCCTCAGCCAGCGTTCCTGGCTGAGGAACTCTGGGTTGAAGTCCACGTCATAAAAGGGCCAAGTTTGAAGACCCCTGCAATAGAAGATCATTTTGCACAAGTGCGTACTATTCTTTTAATCGGTTAAATCTTTTCTTTTATTCTCTTTTTAAAGGCTTCGCGTGTTTTCTGCCTTCCTTTCCCAACCATGGAGCAATGCTGCCATCTCGTGGCCAAAGAAAAGTGGTGCACTTGCCTTTATTTTTCGTTTCTTTTTCTTTGCTTTTTCATGAACTTAAACCCCGAGGTCGGATTCACACGAGCCTCCTCGCTTTGTGACTGATTCACACGTGTTTGGGGGTTTGCCCGGTGCATTGAACTGGCTACTAAACCATGCAGAAGGCTAGGCTCCAGCAAAGGAGTTTTATTATTCTTTTATTAATCGACATTTTATTATATCGTCCCCCAAGGGGGCTCCTGCTTTATGTGGCTCTGAGTTCAAATCCTGATCATGTCCTTGGCAAAATCATCTCATTAATAAACGTTTTATGTGTTAATCTTATGAATAATAAAATTATTTTTTTTATGTAGCCCCTTGAAACTCCCCCAAAACCTTGACTATGGAGTGGGCTAGTAAACTTGCAGGAAGAAGTTCAACTAGTGTAGGAATTCTCTATTGAGCGTGCCTGGCTGAGGAATTCTGGGAGTGGAAGTCCACAAATCATCAAAGGGCCAAGTTTGAAGACCCCTGTCCTAGAGTCTCCTGATAGTCCTCACTTAATCACTGAACTCTTAACTGCCATTCAAAGTTACATCTCACCCCCCCAAAAGGTACTTATGACCCAGTTCTGGAATTCTGACAGCAAACACACACACAAACACACACACAGTCCCTGTGGTCATGTGATTGCATATTGGGCTTTTGGAAAATTTCTCACATTCGTGGCTGTTTGCAGCATTCTGCAGGCCATTAGTGTGTTTTTAAGGTTTTTTTTTTTTTTTTTTACAGTTTCTGGTTTCCAGAAGAAAAAAAACCCCAATAGATTCGCTTAATGACCCCAGACTATTTACTTAATAGCAGCTCCTGGCAGGCATTTGATCCACCTTTTGCCCCTTAGATCTGGAGCTCTGCCCAGAGTTAAGTTCTTGCAAAGCTTGGCTTCTCAATCCCCAACTCGGTAGTTACACAGCCAAAGGGCAAACTAGGAAGGACAAGAGGTCTTGAAGACTGCCGCTTTCATGTCAACGAGGGCCAAGGTCAAAGTCTACGTCTTTTAATTGGAAGGTGCAGCAATACATAGATTCATTTTGTGCATATACGGGTCAGTCATCTAACTGGCAAAGGGCTGCCACCCCCCGGTTGATCCAGTGCTTCTGGGGAAGGTCAGAAGGAAGCTCAATGGAGAGGACATAGTTGGTGGAGTGTCCCGTGGTGGACAAGACGCCTCTCCTGGCGCTGGTTTTGTAGACGGGACACAAGTAGATCCGCTCGTGCAAAAACTTGGCGCTCTCCCCGGGTTTCAGCCAAATGATGGGCAGGGCGTCGTAAAGGATTTTCGGGAGGGATTCACCGATCTGCATGGTTACTCTATCCCATCGGGCTCCTTCCAGGAAGAGCCCTTTGACGTAGGCGCCATCTTCAGGCATCTGCTTCATGGTGTGCTCCTTCCTCATCACCTACAGCGGGAAAAGGATGAGCGGACTGAATGAGGAGGAAGAAATAACATTCCTGGTTTAGGAGGAAGCGGGCGCTGGGGTTCCTAGGCTGCACCAAGCGCTTTGGCTGGTTTTTTAGTTTGAGATGTTGCAAAAAAAAATAAAAAATCAAAAGGAATGGAAATCCGTCCCTTTTTATTTTTATTTTTATTTTCCATCTCCAACTACAAAACCAGCCAAAGCATAAGACAATCGTGTACCTCGCCACGAAAGCCACCATCTTGTTGCCACCAACATTTAGTCTGCAGATTCTTCCTCTCTACTTCTCTGGAACCAACCTCTACTTCTCATTAATTCTGGATTTCCACATTTTCGTTTTGTCCAAACAACAATGCTCTTTATAAGCACAATTAAATTAGTTGCGTATATACTTTACCTCAAATTCAAATCCAATGTGATCTATTGGGATTGTATACTTTCTGGCATAATTCTGAGAGACGCCCGTCAGAAACGACTGAGTAAAATAGAAACCAGAGATCCAAAACACATTTGGTGGTCCGTGTTTGATCCATTCCTGAGGTGAATGGGAATTAACAAATACTTCTATGAAATGGAGCATCAAAACAACAACTACCAAGAATCCTAGGATGGCTGAATTTTCTAACCCTTTGTCTGAAATGCCAGATTGTCAGGATTAAGTATAACAACAGGGAGCCATGACTAGCTTGGCGGAAAATTTTGCTGCATTTTCCAAATTGCAATATGTAAAAAAAAGCCAAGAGGATGAAAAACACCAGGGATTGAACTGTTGCATATTATTTCAAAATATTTAATGATATTTATCTATATATATATATATTACAGCTGCCTAAGAATGGAGTTCGGTAGATGAAAGGAACCCAACAGACTGAAAACCCAGAATGAATTAGCCAGGATAAATTCAATATACTTACGGTTAATTCCGAGTGCGCTTCAAGGTGTTGATCACCATCTTTAAAGCGCACCATGGCATTGGACCTGGTTACCTCCGAGACCGCCTTCTGCCACAGATTACCTCCCACCGGCCGATACGCTCCCACAGAGAGGCCCTCCTCAGGGTGCCGTCAACCAGACAGTGTCGGCTGGTGACACCCAGGGGGAGAGCCTTCTCTGTCGGAG